CTCCGAGACAGGCCATAAGCTGAGCAGCAGGCGATGCTGACAAATCCTTCCCTTTCCTAACGCTGCCCAGCCCACCTGCTCAGTGCAGGCACGCTGGGGCAGAACCTGGCACAGGAGGACATAACCTACTTCCTCGCTGCCTTTCTGCCACCGTCCCTGCTGTGTCTGATCCACATCCCAGTTCCAGGCAGGGTGCGGAACCCCTCATCCTCCCACTCCCTCCCTCCCTCCCCCGGTTCTGTTCCATTTTGTTTGTTTAGCAGAGTTGCCTCTGGGAAAACCCACCGAGGGATTACATAAACCTCTGATGATGAGTAATGGAGATCCGGCGTCTCCTGACGTAAGTCACAATCCCTCTGCTGGGGTCAGCGGTGACTCACGGGGTTTGTCAAAGGGGACTGCACAGCAGGGACTGTTGGGGACCACTCAAAGTTGAGGGAAGAGTCGCTGGTCCCTTGGGGAGGGGGTGTGGGTGGATGTATTTGGTGAGAGGCATGACATGAAGTTCCAAGCAAATTCTATAGAAAAGTCACCCTGACTTCTCTGTGACCTGGACGCGGTGACCCCCAAGAGCCTGGGAGACGTAACAACATTCCTGGGACACAGTTTTCCATACTGCAATCAGGGCCACCTCACAAGGACAGCTTCACATACATTGCTGGCGAGGCCGGGGGCCTGGCATGTGGTATGAGGAGGTGTGCGCCGTGCCACGTTCAAAGTCAAGGACCAGTTTGGAAAGCTGGGAGTCCAGCTCAAGTAAAGCCTGGAGCTTGGGGCTCAACTGGGGCCACAGGGAACCATCAGAAGATGAAGAGGCTTGAGCTGCCGAGGGTTCTCGTCAACTTCCAGATGATCATTGCCTTTGTGACAACAACAGCCTGTGGATGTCGGCCTGGTCCCTGAGCCTGGGCCGAGCCTTACAGACGCTAGACAAGGGGATGATGTAAGTGGCTGTGATCATGTGACCCAAAGCATTTGGCTACGAAGAGAGACAGCAAAGGAGAGGCCTTTCCGCAACCCAGGTGGCCTCCAGCTGCAAGAGTGAACAGCGGCAGGCGGACCTGGGCCAGGCTGGCAGCTGTCGCCCCAATGGGAGCATCATGCAGCCCATGTGGTGAGAACAAGGGGTTATAAATAGCACCCCTTGAGAAGGCTATGTAAACAGAACCACAGCTCCAGCCCAAAGGGAGGATGCAGGCCGTGTCCGCAGGACAGGAACACACTGCTTCTGGAACACACAGCCCCGCTCACCCTGAGCCCATAAAACATACGTGTGTACAGACCACATGGGCACAGACACACAAACACCATGAGGCAGGGCCCCAGGGCCCCCACACCATCGCTGAGCCTGGGTGTCTGCAGTGCCAAGGAGTCACCTCACTCACTTGCAAGCTGGCAGGGTGAGGGACGGAGGCTTAGTCATTTTATGCCTATAATGTTTCTCCTTGAAGGCTTGGGGTTCCATCACCATCCACACAATAACTAAGAAGCAATGCAAAACTGAATGAAAGCAAAGGAAGGAGTGTAGCAAGGAAAAGTCAAGGAAATTCCAGGGCCAGGTCCTGGAGGGATGTCCATCTGACACTGGAGATGGGCGTCTACCTGGTAAATGTACCTCCCAGGAACTCAAAGACCAGCTAGCTGTCTGACACAGAAAAGACCGCAAATACACAGGGTATTTACAACCTGCCCTTCTGACTGTGCTCTGGCTTGACTTCAGGGCATTTACAAGGGTTTTGAGGTCAGATCCACCACCTGGATGTCAATTTGTGGCTGCACTTTGCTGGGAGGTGGGAAGTGACACAACCAGTGTATCAAATCTCAGCAGGGTCAGCCATGATGACCAGTGGAGCATCCAGACAAAGAGAGAGTTAAGAAAAAAGGCTGAGTGATCTATTTGTAAAAATTAGTGACTGGAAACCATGTGGATCACAACAGGACATTGTTTTGGACATGCTATGCCAAGGGAACAATCTCTAGATAAGGGTATCATGTTTGGTGAAGGGGAGTCCCCAGGAATTGCCCTGGAGGAATTGTATCCTGCTTTGCAATAGCTACACAGACTTCACAGAACCACAACTCAAGGTTATTTGGTTTACTGTGAAGTTAACAGTTTACAATTCAGGTTGGCAGCAGGATGCAATTCCTCAGGTCATTCGCCTCATGCAGAGGGTGTGGTAGTCCTTCAATGATAAGGACTAATGTAACAGACACAATGATGGACTTGAACATGCTGACAACTGTGAGGATTGACACTGGACCTGACAATGTTAGATTCTGTTGCAGTCAAGCTCAACATGAGCTGAACTGACAACAGATGGTCTCGTTGAGAAGTTGACAACAACGGGTGCTTTTATCTCCATCTCGTCTTTGAATCTTGTCTGCTGCCTCCTGCTAACCACTGTCTCCTTCTGAGACCTTGTAGGGTCCCCTCTGGTTCACTCTTTCCAGGGCCCGAGTCTCCTAGGTGGGTGCCTGCATGAAGGCTTTGGCTGAATTTCTTTTATGGTGATAAGTCAGGCAGGAAAATCTTCTACAAAGGACCCTCTAGCATCAAAACATGAACACTGAGCTTTCAAAACCCAAACTCAGCTTCTAGAAAGGATATAAGATAAGGGTATGCTGAAAAGTATTTCTTTAGCTTGGGAATCACAAAACAAGTATTATCAGAGAGGGGCTGAATTTCCTTCATTCAGGACAATTAATTGGTATCTTTTCCTTTAGTTCTCCGTTCCCTTTCAGCCTGTGGTCAAGAATCCAAGAACAGAAGACTTCTATAGAAGCTGAAGTTGCTCTGTTGGCTTAGTTGCAAGGAATTGCACTGTCAACTCAAAGGTGCCTGGTTCAAATCTATCAGCTGCTCCATCAGAGAAAGATGGGCAATCTCCTCCCATGCAATTTACTACCTCTGAAAACGTGCTGGAGGGTCCACTACAGGTTGGTTCCAATTCAATGGTATTTAACCACAGTAACACCAGAAGCTTCAAAGAGCGCCAGTGGGCACAGTGGTTAAGCGCTTCAGTTGCTAACCCAAAGGTCAACAGCTTGAACTCAAGAATCCTCTTTGGGAGGAAAACGTGATGATTGATTCTGTAAAGATTATGACCCTGGAAACCTTAAGGGGCAGTTTTACTGTTCTACAAGGCCGGCATGAGTTGAATGAACTTGGTAACAACAGGGACAGGAGTTGCCAAGCGTCCGTTAATGATCAACTCTCTTGCCTCTTGCATAATTTCCATTTTTCACTTAACTCTAGTACTCTAGCAAGCAGTACATTAAAAGAAGTTTTTTAACCCCATCGTCATGTGCACACAGTGGCTCACGCACCAAAGAAGTCCTTTCCATCTCATCTGGACCTAATGAGCTCAGTCCATTCCCACCAAGATGAATTCTATAACTCGAGTCTAGAAGCCATTTTAGACTGTAACCTGATTCTCATCTGGACTGTGTTCTTCCTGCAATGTCATCTAAGCGTGGAGGGGGTGTGTGTGTGAGAGAGAGAAAGAGAGAGAGAGAGAGAGAGAGAGAGAGAGAGAGAGAGAGAGAGAGAGAGAGAACACATTTCTCTGGAACTTAAACCACCACTGGAAAAACTCCACTTTGAGTTAACTGCTGGTTAGAGCCCGACGCCACTGCCGCGCCTGCCCGGCCGTGGAGTCTGTCAGAAGGTGTGTGCAGTCTAACAAGTCAATTGCTGGCAATCTGCGTTTAGCAAAGAGAAAATGAGAATCCTGTACCTGTAGCGGCAAGTAATGGCAGCCCCAGGCAGAGGAACAATTCTCCCTGCGAATCATCTGCTGTCTCTCCTGGGTCTTTTAAAAAAAATGAGCAAATGAGAAAGGATGGAGAGAAATTTCCTCAAGCTGTCAGGAAGGCTGTGACAAGCAGAGAGCTATGAAGGATGGGCTGGAATCTCTGTTAGTCCCCTGATAACAAAAGAGACCTGTCGTGGGCCTGCGGCTGCATGTCTTCTAAGGGCAATGCTTTCTTCCTCGCAGGTGGGGTATTATTTATACCCATGATGCTGCAGGTTAAGCAGCCACAAGAGAGCCAGAACCACAAACAGCTGAAGCCTCAGCCAATGAGAATAAGCCAAGTTGGCACCAGGCCTGGCGGTATAGTGGTGGAGATGCCACCATCTCCGTCCCAGCGCTCTGATACCAACAGGACACTGTAGTGCAACACGTCCTGCCAAGATGCTCAAGAGACTAGTGGCTCCACAGGTTTTTAGCTCAGGTGGAGACGTGCACAGGAGCGGTGGCTTTGAGTTAGGAGAAAGAGGTAAAAGTCAATTTTCAACACTTAGAAAGCCTTTTCTAAGACCATTGTAGTCTGGCCCCAGAGATGGGTGCTGGATAGGAAAGAAGCCCAAGTAAAGAAGAGCCTATTTCAAACCTGACACTGCTCGGTGACCAAGAGATGGGAAGACCCTCTGCTTGGGTCAGTCAGTCCTCCCATGCTGCTGGGATGGGCAGGACACAAGGAGGCAACACGCCAGTTCCCCTTCTATTCCAGACCCCGCAGGCCCACCTCACAAGACATTCTTCTCCTCTCTATCGTCAATGGTGACTTCGTATTAATGACATCCCCAAAGGGAAAGAACTTTCTAAAAATGGGATAGTGCTCAGTTCCACCACTGTTAAGCTGGCCCCACTTATCCTCTTCTCGCAGCAACTACAAACCCTCACTCCTGCAGGAGAGCTGAAAGTTACTCCGCTGGGACTCATTACGGGGTCTGCTTGGCTTCCTCCAGGTCTTAAGCCCTGAAATGATGTGAGAGCTTTTTTGCATCTTGGGAACACACCTATGCATGCATTCATACAGATGCATGGCTGCATGTTTATATGCATATGCATGGGAACACGCATGAGATCGCTCTCAAAGGGACTCTAGGTGGGGTATTTCGGGTTTAGCATTAGTTCTTCCTGTGGCCTGGTGTGTAAGTGAGAAGGTTAAGTTCACAAACTATGATGCTGTAGGCTATAGAGGTATCTACTCACAACCTGCTTGTATCTCAGGGGGAGTATTCAAAAGCATCATGGCAGTGGCCGCATCAATGTCAGGATCTGGAAAAATCAACCAATAAATAACATTATTTACAACGGGGCTGGTGTGGGTGTGTGGGTTTTTTTTCCCCCTGTAGGTTACACTTTACGAATGCAACAGAGATTAAAAAAATTCTGGAGATAGGTGAGCTTTCCCAAAGGGACTTTCCTTCCCATTTGGATCAGAGTGGAAGAAAAGGTACCTGAGAATGAGATTTAAGAGGCTTTGCAGCAAACAGGAGGGGATTCTTATTTCATTAATGCTTGGTTTACTCTGTCACTTCTTGGGAAGTTCCTGCTCTACGTACCCCAGACCTGCTTTTCCTGGGGTGGATGACTAGAAGGGTGTGTGTGGGTGTGTGGGTGTGTGTGTGTGTGTGTGTGTGTGTGTGTGTAAGAGAGAGAGAGAGAGAGAGAGAGAGACAACAGGAAAATCAACCACAAGAATCATAAATGAACTGGGAAAAGCTGGCAACAACAAGAAGGAAAAGTGTTCCGTATAATACCTGCCTTTTGTCACTTGGTCATTTCCATTTGCCAGCAGAATGCAAACTACTTTACACAGCAAAGGTGGTGTAGAAGGTATGAAAGAAAAAGAAAAAAGTTCTGGACAACAATGAGGGGCTGATTGATGGTACCCCTATCAACCACTGCTCTTGGTACAGAGGGAGAAAAAAAACCCCAAGTTTTTACCATGTCACTGCTGTAATTCTTAATAGGCTGTTGAAGCCTAACTGACCCACCAGTTGACAGATGGCAGGTTTATGTAGGGAGAGAGAGGAAAATATTATCCTTTTATAACTAAATTCATTTTCCTCTGAGAAACAGTAGCACGGCTGCTATGGCAATGCAGGTCACCATGGCAACAGTAAACAACTCCGAAGAATGGCCAGTGAATCGGCTGAAAAGAACATCTGCCCCAGCCAGCGTCCCAGCTGCCCTGGGGCGAAATTCACTAATAGCACGGTGATGCCGCCTGACAGAAGCCACCGCCTGTGCCCTGTCCCAATAAATGAAGTGTGCAATTGAAGTCGACATCAAAATGCCTGGCCTTGCTGATGACTGCCTCTGTGCCCGCTAAGCCTGGTGACTAATGATGGGGGCTGAGCGGGGGCCTGCACTTGTCACTTTTTGTACGGATTACAAACCAAAAATCTCAATTTACCACTAATGGCTCTGCGACACTTTATTTGGGGTATTATGCTAGAAAATTACCTTTTTACTGGTTTTTTTAAAGAGGCATATTTTTCATACTTTGTATGTGTGGTTTAATTCCAAGGGAGTAATGTGATGTCGTTTAAAGCCCCAAGAGCGACAGAGAATGTTGGTTGACAGGAGACAATGTCGTGGAGGGAGGGGGGAAATGCAATTCAACTTTGCTCTGCAGGTCTCTTTCCATTTTGTCTGCAGGAGGCCTGTTACTTACACGCCATAATGGAGCAAAAGTTTATTTTAATAAGCACATTGTCTGAGAAACAGGTAAATCAACTTATTTGACAACTCCTGGGGTGGAATTCCTACAACAGTCATTGTTCCCCACAGATATTAAAAATATATGTATTAGTTGAATAATTAACTGGAAAAACCTAAAGTGTCACTCACCACTCCCTGCCAGTCCTGTTGCCAAGCAGCCCGACTTAGCATCTTGGGGTTACTTGGCTGGTGTGTCACGTGACACACCCCGAGGCCTTTCACTCCTTCCTCAAGGATTAGCCCCAAACACACATCTGTTTCTTCTCACTGAACAAAGGGTCTCTGCCATCTTTGAGATGCTGGGGCTATGGGAAGCTCACCACGGCTGGTAGAGTTAAGTGGTCCCAGCCTCCCCAGACGACTCTGCAACAGTCACTAGTGGTTTTCCAAGTGACCAGGAAATTTGGGGCATGGAGGAGACAGGACTAGAGGAAACAGTAAGACATCAAGGATCTTTTCTTAAACATTTTTTTCCAGAAAAATCAGCCTTTGTGTCTTCCTTCAATAATCAAACAAATAAACAAACAACAATCACTGGATTGCAATGGTAAGGTGCAAGGGGCCCAAAGGATGAAAAATAAGATATAAAGAGAGATAGAACAAAAGGAAGAAAATAAAGTGGTTGAATGGGAAGGGAAACACTGAATCCAGTTTAGGAGAACCTAGTAAGGGGCTAGTGGAGTTGTGTTGCCAACCCAAAGACACTGGGTTCAAGTCCACCAGTTGCTCCGCTGAAGAAAGATGGGCAATCTCCTTACACACAATTTATTGCCTCTGAAAGCCTTTGTTGGGTCAGCTATTAGTTCCTACTCAAAGGCACATCACAACAACAGTGTGGATACTGTCAAGAGGTAGGGCTGATAACTGTCATATCTGTGCACACACTTGCATGAACACACCATTACTGTTTTCATGCCTTTTTGCAATTTTTGCATGTGCCGCCTCCCTGCTAACATTGAATAGAGGACAGGAATCCCACCATAGCCAGCCTACCAAAGGGCTCCCTCACTCTCAGCTTTATGCCACTCCAGGCATAACTTTTCTGTTCAAATGGAGAGTTGTAGGAAGTAATTTTAAGTGTGATAATGAGAAGCCTGGGTGTTAAACCTTCTCGCAATGTTTGGAGATTGTATCCACCTTGTTTTCTATGCAGCAAATTCAGATTGGAGAAGGGACGCAGGACTTAGCCTAAAGCCTCGTTTTTCCTTATTTGACGTACTTATTTGACTTAACCTGAGGATAGAGGGATCTTGGTCAATATTATTTGGCTCTAAAAGGCTCTCTAAATTACCTCTTGACAGTATCCACACTGTTGTTGTGATGTGCCTTTGAGTAGGAACTAATAGCTGACCCAACAAAGGTTTTCAGAGGCAATAAATTGTGTGTAAGGAGATTGCCCATCTTTCTTCAGTGGAGCAACTGGTGGACTTGAACCCAGTGTCTTTGGGTTGGCAACACAACTCCACTAGCCCCTTACTAGGTTACTTCAGAGTCACAACCACCACACTCAAGATAGAAGGGGAAAAAATTAGTAATAATATTTAAAAATCTAGATTTCTTCATCCCAAGTTTCCATGTGACTTTCTGCACTTGTACCCACCCTGGACAACTACTGACCTGTGTGGTTCGTTTCTAATTGTTATGGAACAGTCCTTTCACGGTACAGGTCTATCATAATTTGTTTGTCTACTCATCTGCAGATGGGCATTTACATTCACCCCCCCTCCCAGTTTGGTGGTATTGGGGGAAATGGGAAAAAACCCAAAAACACCCTGAACCCCCAAAGCTGTCATAAACGTCTGTCCTAGTCTTTTCCAGAGAGACTATAACAGAGTTCCAGTTGCTCTGCATCTTTGTCAACACTTGATACTGTCAATCTTTCTACTTTAGCCACTGTGGTTTAAATCTGTATACCCTCAATGACTAAATTATGTTGCACTTCCCTTCCCCCCCCCCATTTTCTTGTTGGCTGTCTTCTCTTGTGAAATGCCTCCTCAAATCTTTCCCCCATTTTAAAAAGAATTGTTAAAACTCATTACTGAATTGTAAAATAACAGGATAGAGCAGGGTTTAGGGCTGTTGTACATAGGGTCGCTATGAGTCGTAAACGACTTGACGGCACATAAAAACAACAAGAAGAAACATTTTCTCTCAGTCCATGGCTCGTCTATTATTTCTTAACAGTATTTTTTTTAATAAGCAGAAGTTTTATAACATCTCATTGATAAAGTTTTCCTTTTATAATTCATGCTTTTTGTGACTTAACTAAAATACTTTTTCTATCCCCAAGACTGCACTCCTCTTACATGTTAGTTCACAGACTACAATGTCACCTGTATTTGCTACTCAGATTTACAGATAATTTGGTGGCCTAGTGGGAGGGAGTTACACTGCCAAGCCAAAGGCATGAAGTTCAAAACCACCAGCTACTCCTGGGGGGTGGGGCGGGGAAGAAGGGCACTCTCCTCCTGTGGGATTTACAGTCTTAAAAACTGATGGCAGGTAAGCTATGGGTTAGTTCTGACTTGATAGCAATGAAGATTTTTGGTTTGAAAAATAGAAATAATAAGTCAAATGTCTCTCCTTATTCGGTAAAGACAGCCTTCCTAGAATTGTACTGAAAAATGCCAGAAGGACATTCTTTGGCTTCTGGTATGCAGAGGTGAACAGTGAACAGCCTGAGAGATGTTTGGTTGCTTTATACTGCCATGAAATAAGTCTCCGGGTATCTCAGCTAGAATGCCTGACTTTGTGCTACATGCTTTAGTTTTTTTTATGGCAAAGAGAAGATACTATAATGCTTATTCTTATCTCTTTATTAAGATGCAGACATTGCCAACCTCCCTTTGGGAGGGGAGAGAGGAATGAAATGAAACCACGGAAGTAATGCACACTCACCATAAAAAAACCAAATAAATATAACTTTGAAACCAAATACCTCCCCCAGTCCTACTTTTGTGATGGATTCAATGTTCGTATTTTCTTTTAGACACTGCCAGAAATGTGTATTCACAGATACACCAATACACACATACTTATACTCATGACCGTTTATGACCGCCACTCAAAAGGAACCAGTCCAAAATCCCACACGAGAAACCAAATTCCTCCTCTGATGCTCATGCATCAAGGAAATGATAACCTTACTTCTTTTCTAGACCAGGTCCCAGAGGCCCGTTTCTATTTCCATCTTTGAAGCAGTTGTCTTACCACATTGCCTCTTCTCTGTAGCAAGATACTGACAAAAGGCCTCACCTCTTCAAGATGTTTTCAAACCCTCTTCCCATAAAGGTGCACACACAAGTAGATCATGCTACAGTGAGAGAAACAAGTAATCAAGTTGGAACCCACGGCTCAACTATTTGAAGTTTAACAAAGTACGGCATCTCATTTTCCCAAAGCACAGAGACAGCTGCTTTTAGGCACTGGGAAGATGACTTCTCTTAGCTGATGGGGAAAGACCAGACTAGATTTGAAGAGTCTTGCATCCTTGCCCTTTTCTGTTGCTAATTAACATGTGATTTCATTTTTCCATTTTGACAAGCTGA